TGGCTGCTTAGAAATTAAGTGTTAACGAGCAGTTGGACAGGTGTACCTAATAAAGTGGCTGGGGAATGTATATAGTATATCAGTTGTCCATAAAATAGCTGCTCACTGAATGATTTGTTTTAGAAACCATGTTCTGTAATCCTGAGAAATGGATAAGAGTGAAAATTCCAGAAGATCATGAGTCTCTGAAATACTAAGACCTGCCTGTCCGGAAACCATATCATTGCTAAATCCTTTCTCTTCTTTCTAATGCTCAGTTTGAACTTCAACAGAACATCTTCACTACAAAACCTGACTGCTTTATTGTTTTTTTTTCCTGAGACTATCTGATTGTGGAGTGGAATAGGGCAGAGATTTAATAAAAAACAAAAAAGATGCAACACCAAAACACACCCAGAAATGCTGTCAGTGAAACTGAGAAATTTATTTATTAAATGGCAAGTCATTCAAATGAATAAATTCAATGATTATTGGTGCCTCTGCATCATCTCCAAATTATAAAAAATGATCTTCCAGAGCAAGGCTGACTTTAAACAAAATTTCATTGAGGATTTTATCACATAAAGTATTACATCTTTCCCAACAGTCTTTTAAAATTCTTTACTGCTGAAGTAGGGAATGTTTGCCACTTGAAACACACAAAAACCTGCATTCATCGTTAACAAAAAGATGCCCTATTTACTTACACAGCACTTGAGTTATGCTTCCCTTTAATTTCTATCTCCAGAGGGATCCGCAAACATTTACTATACTTGTGGTTGTCACAGTGAATCACAGTAAATCAGTGCACTGGGGCAACATGAGCAGATTTGCATGCAAATAGCCCCAGAGAAGGTTGACACATCATGTTCTGAGGTATACCGTGTTGTTTTTCTACTACATACACAGTCTTGTATTTCATTTGAATTGTTCAGGCTATAAACATAACCCTTCATTACAGAGACAGTAGGCACAGGATATTCTACAAACGACTTCATTTGTAAAACTGCAGCAAACTTTTCATAAATCAGTGCGTTCGTCTAGAAGCAGCAGGCAACGCTCCGAGCTATTCTTGCACAGGTACTCAAATGCACTCCATCTTCACTCATTACAGTGCTAGTATACCGTGAAGTGTCTTCAATAGTGAGCAGCAGGACTTTTCATCAGAAGTGACGTAAAAGTAGGAGCAGGGGATTGGGAGACGGATGGAGCTGTGATTTAAATGCATGCTCTGTACTTCAACAACGAGAGGAAGGAGGCAGATTCATCTGAACAACAAGCACAATGTGTACACAAGCACCAGTGAATAATTACAACAAACCCACACAGAATAAGTAGAAACACACAACAGCAGCAGACAGGACTGCAATTCAGAGGAGCTTGAGAATAAATAGGTGGTTTTTGAACCGACTTGTTGGTATGCTTCAGATGTTTTTAGTGCAAAACATGAATTTCCTTTGAGGAGAGATCAAGTCTTTTTGGACATGCAAGTCTCTAGTGAAAGGACCAGACAATAGACTCCACTATGATGACAGTAATGCTTTGAAATCCAAAGTGCCTACATTGAGACACCAGTAACAAATCTCTTTATTAAAACATGTAGCATAAAAAAAAAAAAACGAAGCAGCGTACAAATTCCCACAGAGTATAAAAACAAGGCACCTGTGGCATCCTGTAACAATATATGGGCTACTTTTAAAGATAATTTATGAAACTTCAACATATGGCAGTAAATAAGAGAAGATTGAGATGCAGCTACAGTATACCCAAAACATTGTGTTACGGTTATGTATGTAGTCTATAAAATGAAGATAAAAGTCATTCAGGCTGATTGTTTTATCTTTTCCATGGTCAGTAAAGGAAAAAAAGACAAACCTTTCCATATTTCCTTTCAATCAGTTCTGTAAATCGGTTCCAATGGAGATACATTTTTAAAAGAACGTGAGGGGTTAGACTTTTTAAAGTAGGGTCAAAGGTATTACTTATTATCAGTTAAAATCTTCCCTGGATTTAAAAACTCTCTGATTGAGTTTAGATTTGTGTAACAGCTCTAACAGTGAGTAACAGTGTAACAGCTCTAACAGTGAGTTTAACAACTTATGAGATTTCAAGCTCCAACACAGACCTCAGTCATATTTAAACAACTCCAATTTAGATTGTCTGATCTGCAACTGACAAAATTCTTAGACAACTGTCATAAAAACAATGGAGTGTTAAATCCTATTACATTTCCATCACACAACTTGTCTGGCCAGCTACATTTGGTGCAATTTATGTAAATAAGAACATACATAACTTTAAATAGCAACCTAACAGTATGGATGTACCTGATACAGATCCAAATAAATTCAAGAAAATGCATTTAGCAGAACAGTCCCAGCCCAATCATCCATTAAAATGTGGCATCTTTGTACTCAGAAGTCCAGAAGATCTACAGTACAGTGCAATAACATAGGAAACATTTCAACAGTGGTATAAGGTCTACATCAGTATTTTGCATGCCACTCCTAAATGACAATGCAGTGTTCATATTACTGGAAACCTTTTCCTTGATGTTGAAAAATACTTTATTAATTCTGGGATTTCTGCAGAACTGCCTTTTGTTTCTAAAGACACATATGACTTGTTCTTTCAAGTTCTTGAAAGTTTAGATTGTAGCAGAACTCCATAGGTTGCCTGCTTATCTAATAGGAAAGTTTTATTCTCAGTGTCTTGGTTTCAGTTTTGCAATATGGGAAAAACATTTTTTGCAGCAATATGCCACAATAAACAGAGCCAACAGCTTCTTATGGCTGCAGCTACTATAAGACCACAGACAGCTCAACAGCGACAGGCATCGACAATCAGCACAGTCAGGAGCTCTGATACCAATTAATTTCAAATGCCTTTACTGTGCCTCTAAGCCCATACTTCAGATCTGAACTGGTATTTCAATAAAACACAAGAGTAGAGAAAATGAACAAAGCATTAAGCATCACAGCAATAAAATGTTTGAAATGGGAGGGGATGCTTAAGGTCTTTTTTTTAGTTTTTTAAGACTGTGATTAACTGTGTGCTTGAGGCTCAAGTGAGAATTAATACTCATCCTTTCAAACTAAGATATTTCTGACAGCTTCCTACAGCAGGTAAAAAACCAGACTGCTCATTATGTCCTGAATGAACAGACTTCCTATTCACACTACATATTTGAGTACTTTCTGCAAACAAACCGGAGCTGGAGCTTGAAACAGACATCACATGCAGTGAATACTGCTTCTGCTGTGGACCCTTTTAAACGAGGGAGTGAAAAGCACTCAGAGCAATTCATAGCATGTATTTTTCTTGGTTTCTGCCAGTCTTCCAACGTTTTGGATCAATCAATAGTACCCAGTAAGCAAAATACACAGTGCAATCTAGTTTATCTTTAAAGTGTCTGAGATCAATTGATCTCTTCTCAATAATAAATCCTCTACGACACTTTTCTCTTCAGAAAGCACAACCATCATAAATAATAAATACATAAACAATAAAAAGTTCTATGACCCAGCAAAATGATCATACTGCTTTTTCAGCAGAAAAATGCAACTGTATAGGGCTTTGTGCTGACCTCATTCATGCCTGAGTGTGATTATTTTCCAAGCCATTTAAGTCACATAAAAGCATTTAATTAATAAGCGCCCATCCGTTCATGGGATCCCCCTCCTTGTGAAGCTAAGCGTTATTTCCGAGCACCAGTGAGGCGAATCCTCTTAATTGAGAAGTGTCAGAAGAGGCATCCGCTAACAGAAGGCACAAAATAAATAGCTCAGTGCGAGTCAAGACCACCCCTACTGCTAATTTCTTCTTTCATAACTGTCACCACTCCTAGCTGCCGAGTCCATCTTGTCCCTTTTCCATTTACCACTGCTGGTCCAGGTGCTCACAGATATTCATGAAAGGACTTCTTGAGCAATTTATCACAGGAGAGCTGTTTAGTTCTGTTGATGAATGGATGGGAGGATGTGAACATGGTCAGGAGCCATTGATCATTGAACTTTTTTTTTTAGCACTCTGAGCAAATTTTGATGTATGAGCAGTAAGTTGAGAATGAAAACAGCACATTACATGTGGCTCTGTGGAACAGGCAGAGATCCTTATAGTGCAGCTTTTAGTTAATATAACTAAGGAATCATTCAGATAATTTAATTTAGTAAAACTCTCGAAGGAGAGATATGTGTCTTTTAAAGGAAAACACTGTACTAACAGCATATCTCCATGAGTGATGTGTTCATTTTCTTTGCAGGAAGAATGAATCCTGAACCCACATGCATAGAATGACAGCTTTTTTTGGAGAGCAAAAATCTGTGGAGTCGGTCCTGCTTGGCGGAACATTAGATCACGTCTGTCAGCTGTTTGTTTGTGACAGCACACGCGGGACAGTTACAGAGCCTCGTCTGCCGACATCTGTCATCATCTTGGTCTTCCTCTGTGGGCTTGTTGCTGGAAAGACAAAACAAGGTCCTCATTGGCAACATGTCATGCAGAGAAGGCAGCAGCCACACACCGACTTTCATAAACTTGTCTGACAAACAAGGACATGTTTAACCATCAAGATCATTGTGAAAGACGTACAGTGCCTTAAAAAGTATTCAAACCCTTGTATTTTCTATACTTTATTTCCCTTTATAACCAAATATTTGAATGAAAGTCCGCCCTACATCTCTGTCACTCTATAGCAGTGTTTTTCAACCCTGGTCCTCAAGGTACACTGCCTTGCATGTTTTAGATGTTTCCCAGCTTTCACACACCTGTTATCAATTGATAGCAGATTATCAGGCTTTGCTGAACTGCATTCATCTGAATCAGGTGTGCTGAAGCTCAGAAACATCCAAAACATGCAGAGCAGTGTGCCTTGAGGACTGGGGTTGAAAAACGCCGTTCGGACGGATGATCTCTACTTTTCCCTCCCTGTTGGTCATGAACTCCAGTGTATGCGCCATCTTTGTCATTAGCCACCGCTGTCACTACCCAACATTGGGCTGCTGTCACAACAAATACCTTGATGCTTTGTGAGCTCTTCCAAAGGATTCTGGGGTATATCTTCTCGTCTAGTGTCTATGGATTATTACTAAGTTGCATTGTGACAAATTTCAAGTCCACCACTTTTTAATCCACTAGACATTCGGACACTCATCTAAAATTGTGTAACCACTATGTACTGTAGTGCCCTATATAGTGATTAGGGCAGTGCTTGGACACGGCCAATGTAATGAGAAAGGAAAATAAAATGGCTTCTAGATGTTTTACAGATAAAATTCTAAAAAGTGTGGTGTACATTTATTTTCAGCCCCCTTCACTTTTAAACCCATATATAAAATCACACATGGAAACAATTGCCTTAGAAAATCTCCTAAACACAGTCCACTTATTTATAAGTTATGATGACTATAAGTTCAGATGCTCTGTAGGACTCTGAGGTTTGTTTGAGAACATTATTAAATAACTAGCATCCTGGTGGCAAGTTACCTGCCAAAACATGATCGTGCAACAAAAATAGCCTGGGCAAACAAGAATTATAGAAATAGCATTGCATGTTTGGTGACTGAAGGAACTACAAAGAGATGAAAAGAATTTAGCATTTGTGCAGTCCACAAATCTGTCCTTTATGGAGAAGTGTCTCAAATAAAGATGTTTTTGTGATAAACCCATAAGAAGCCAAATTCAGAGCTTGCCACCCGCTTTGTAGGGGTTAAATAATAAAGTGTTTCCACGAGATAAGATCAAAACTGTACTTTATGCCCTACATGTACATCAGAAGTATTTCTAACATCCCATGACTGCATCAATCCTACCATAATTATGGTAGTGGCAACATGATGCTATGCGTATGTCTTTCCTTTGCAGCTCTCAATGTTTCAATGTCCAGTAGAAAAAAAAACAAAAATACTCAAAAGGTTAGATCAAAGCATGTTTATCTGTTGTAATGATCTAGTCCAGATCTAAACTCAATTGAAAATCTGAGCCAAGAAATTGTTCGTACTTGTTCGTCTTAAATTATGTTAATGCATAAAGATAAATAGGGCCATTAGGGCCTTATGCATGTCAAATTTTTAAGCAATAAATTCAAACAGGAGTTTTTGATCAATTTAAAGTGATAGCTAGTCTGTGTTAAGCAACAAGAAAAATAAGAAAATACACTGTGTCAGAATGTGACACAATTGAAAGGTAAAAAAAAAAAAAAATCATACTTTGCAAAACAGGGCAAGGTAAAAGTGGTTTCCATAAAGACCACAGAGATAAAGAGAACAGGGGAAAACACAACCTGCTGGGAAGAGTCGGTAATAAGAGGCTAATAGAACACATAAACATGCATTTGCACAAACAAGCATTTGCTGTAGCTGCACATCTCAGAGAGGGCCACATGCTGGAGAAAATAACAGTATCATTAACCATATGGCATCTGCTGCCTGCCATTTGAATGCACACTCACCTGCCATGTGGCAGCGTGGGCGGGATGCCCATGGCCGCGAGCGTGCACATGACCGTGCCTGTGTGCACCTGCATGCACGTGCCCGTGATGGTTGTGAGGCATGGCGGTGTTGTGGCGAGGTGCTCCATGGTGTCGCTGAGCTGCTGGCATGTTCTGTCTGAGAGGCTGGGGAACCCTTGTTGGGGATTTGTGTTGGGTACGTGCCTTGGGGAGAGTTTGGAACTCTGCCAGGGGGATGGGAGGGGGAGGGGCAGGTGGCTGCCGACCCCCTGCAGCAGTAGCTCCAATCTGCACTGCGCCAGAGTGAATCAGGGTTGCCTGTGTTTGCTGTCTCCGATTCTGGAATACTTTAGCTCTTTCAGTGTGGGCTTTTAGTGCTGCCTGGGTTAGGTTACTGGGATTAGGCTGAGCAGGAGGTACAGGGACAGGATTGGCGCCCCCACGAATAGGCTGGATGGCACCCTGCATGACAGGCTGTGTGTGTGTGTTCCGACCTGGCCGTGTTTGGGCTGGTGCAGCTATGTGTTGCTGTTCCATGTGGGGCTGCTGAAGGTGGTTGGGATCAGCCAAAGCCCTTGTATCTGTGCTTTGTGATGTAGTTGGCCCTTGTTGTGTTGCTGGTTCTTGGGACACAGCAGTATGGCCTGCAGAGGCCTGTTGGCTCATGAGAGGCATAGCCTGGGGGTAACTGCTGTGAGTCGTTTCCTGCCTGAGGGCACTCTGGCTACCTCTGATCTCTCGCTGAGTATTTTCTCTGTCTGTTCGGGGGCTTCTCTGTGTGCGGTGTGAGCGCCCAGGCGGCGTAACATTGGTAGTGTTTGGGTGGCGATCATCAGCATGATAGGTCTGAGTCTGACTATCCTCTGAGGGTGGATCATGTCTGGGCGGAGTTCTACGCCTTGTAACGGTTTGGTTCTGAGGAGGCGTTCTGTTTAATGTCCTTCCCTCCCGTATTGGGGGACGGATAGTGTAGTCCGCGCTGTAATCTAAATCAGAAGTAGATTCAGGTTGGATATGTGCTCTTGCTCTTTCAGGAGTCCCACTGGGGTACGCTGGTGTTCCTCTGAGAAGATCCCATGGGATCTGTCTCTGTCTGGATCTTGGCGTTGACTCATGTTGTCTTGACTCTCTGTCTGGTCTCCTGTGAGACTCTGGGTCCTGCTGGTACGTCTGTGTAGTTTCATTTCGCTGAGTTGTGATATTATTGTTAAAATGTGTATATCCAGTTGGAATAAGGCCAGGTTCACCTTGAAAATTTGGGTTAACATGACCATCTGGTCTCCGGTTATTCGGATAGGACCGTCTGCTTTGTGTTGCATGGTTTAACTGCCTTGTATCTGAGAAGTTATTTTGCGTTTGTCTAACTCCATTAAAGGCCTGATTATCAGGAGGAAAAGAGCTTTCCTGCAGAGGTGTTTGGCCATTGCCTGGATATGAGTTGAGGTTAACATTGATAGTAGGAAGTTGAGCATTGCTGTTTGGGATATTAGAGTTTGGTAGTGCATTGAGGCTGACTTGAACAGCTGGGGGCTGGTTGCTACCCTGCCCCGGCATGGTCTGAATCAAAACATTTGGATTCTGCTGCTGCTGCTGTTGCAAGTTCAAGGCCCTGTTTGCATTCGGAGAATCCAGAGGTGTGAAAGCCGGATTGTCAAAGCTATTATTTGGGTTCGAATTCGGAGTGGCATTTGGTAAAAGTGAGTTTGTAAGGTTGCGGCTATTATGTTGCTGTATTTCAAAGTCCTGTGAACGATTCATAGCTGTTGCCCGTAGGTTCGCCCGGTTTTCAAGGTTGTTGGTGATTAAGCGCTCAGGCTGGTTTTCTTGTCTGCGCGGCTCATAGAGAGGAGGCTGGAGACCTCGATCCAAATTCCTTACGAAATTAGTTTGAGGATCTTGAGGCTAGAAGTGAGCGGGTGATAAATGAGGGGATGGAGCAGAGAGCAAAAGAAAGACAGGGTCTTTTTGAGAACAGGCCTTCGGCAACATCATGACATAAAGACAACATCAATAGTGAATGATGTGTTAATGTTATGGTGGCTTACAACTGTTCTTCGAATTGGATCCACTTCCTGAACAAACACAACATTTCTTCCTAGTTCCCGCTCTGTAATAAGAAAATATCTTATGTTAGTAGAATAAAATGAGTATAACAAAAAGGCAAAATGCTGGTTAATGACAGACTTACCTCTATTCCTTTTCATACGAACAACAAGGAAAACAATGAGGAGCACAATAAGTAGGAGAGCCAGGAAAGCACCGATCACAATCCCTGCAACTTCTCCTCCATTAAAGCATTCCTCTAAAACAATGAGATATGAAAAATACAATTAATAACGGTAATGATACTAAAGCACAGACAGAGTGGAGGGAGGATGAAAATAGAAAAGAAAAAAAGAGCAAAAGAAAAAGAAAGTAACTCAGGATGGATGGTACAGAGGGAAAGAAGCAAAAGACATTGAACGACTTTGACCACAGTGTCACCATATCAATCTCCCAGTATGCTCCCCGTCGCAAAGACGGATACAGCAGCAAAATCTTAAACCAACTATGATCATCATCAGTCACACAGAGACGACCATTCGCCATAACTCACCCACAATGGCCAAGTCGTAGCCCTGAGTCGACGTGCCCCTGGTGATGGTGTTTGTGGCCGTGCACACGTACTGACCACTTTCATTAGTCGAGAACGTCTGGAGGCTGAGCACCCCGCTGCCACCACCAGATGAGATAGTCTGTCCAGCTCGCTGCCATGAGAAGGTGGCAGGGGGAAGCGAGTCAGACGTACAGGTAAGACGCACCGTCTGTCCCACCTTCACGTCCCCTCCACCAACGCACTCTTTTGGTGAGTCAACAGTAAGGACGGGGGTGTCAGGTCCATCTGGATGGTGATGATGAGAGAATATTTAATTCTAAACATTAAATGATTCAAAGGTTGCATAACAAACATAAAAAGCAGTAGTGATTGACAAATTACACGTCCTGCTAAAGGGGGAATTACTGGGTGAGTTTAGGCCTTTAGTTACCTCATTAGAATTAATCACTGTGGTTAACCCTCTTTGATCTTGCTCAGCTAATGAGGGACAGACGTTTTGTGTTTTGTTTCATAATTTGAAAAATCCTTTTGCAGTTGAGGCTGAGGGTCAGGAAATATTTTCTAGTTTGAAACTCCGCACAGTGACTAAGGAAAGGAGTAAATCATTTTTCTATTTTCATCCTCAAAAAAAGGAAGGAAAAAAACAGATATAGGTTATATCACTTTAGGTTTTTTATATATATATTTTTTAAATCCAGTCTAGTTTTATGTTGTCTGAAATGCCCAAAATTTATCAAAATTTATTATTTAGCATCTCTTCACAATTACAAAGTAAAAACAGGTGTTCTAAGTCTGTTTTAAGACATCCCCATCCATTCTTTCACCTGTTTCAGAGATGCTTCTGCAACAATGTGGAGTCCATCAACTGAGAATTTCAATTCAGTTCAATTATATAGCGCCAATTCACAACACATGTCATCTCAAGGCACTTTACCAGATCATATAGTCAAATTGATTCAAATTCTAAGGAAAACCAGTTAATTGCATCAACTCATTGACTCTAATGTAATCCCTCACACTAAGCATGCTTGTAGTGACAGTGGAGAGGAAAAACTCCCTTGACATACAAATATTTGCACATTGCAGAGCTAATAAATTAGCAATCAGGCAGGTATTACCAATAGTGGAGCAATTAGAGTATGTCAAGATACAATATGTTAAATTATAGGTGTGCGCTTAGAAAAACTGTTTTATTTATAGTTTATCGTTAAAGCAAGTAGTAGAGGTTACATTTTCCTCTACATCTGGGGACTTGCCAGTTTTACCTTCACATAATTTTGAAAAGACACCATCTTGGTTGAAATGACTTAATGAAACTAGAAGAAACCCCTTGAACTTAATCTGCTAGTTATCATGTTGGAGCCACACAGCTTAATGCAGATTTTATTTCATAAACATAAAGCAGTTCTGAAAAAAAATCTTCACAAATGGAAAACCTAACATGGTGGACCTAGTATCTATTAAGTCCATCTGTAACCACTGTATGAGGTGCAGCACTTGATTTATTTAGGAGTGTCAAAGTAAAGGGGGCTGCATGCAAATAAGATTTAGTACCTTTAGTTGGTCTATCGCATAAAGTCTCAATTTAGTTTGGGGTTGTAACATGACCAAATCTGAAAATGTTGAAGGGTATGAATACTTTTGCTTGATTCGAGGTAAACATACGGTGAATATGCTGCAATGCAGCAAAATACCTTTCCAGAGGGCTTTAGAAAATTTTGAAACTCTGAATTTAATTACATTCTGTTAGAAAACAAAACACTTCCTTTTTAACCTCGTTGATCTTTCACGTTTCTGGTGGAATCTCTTCCAGAGGAAAGATGTGCCAAACATGTATCATCATTCCAAAGATAACATAAAAGCTCAAATTGTGTCTAATTATTTTTTTTTACGTTACAATCATAAAACTGTTTGATGAATACAGTATAAAGTCAGTCTTGACAGTAGATTCCAAGAAAATTGAAAAATTACAAAGGTGCTCACCTTCTTTTCATGCAAAGTACCCTGACCTCACAGTAAATAATTATTAGCCGGAAAAGAAAAAAATAAAGAAAGAAAAAACTTTTTTTCCTTTTTTGGCATAACCAACTGGTTAAGGGGCATTTTTTCAGATAAAACTGAACAGATACTTAAATCATAAAAAAACAAACAATTTGAGGTTGAAAATCACCATTAGCTGCACTCTAAGATTTATAAGCTATAATCAGGCAGCAGGAAAGCAAAAGGACAAATGATCAGTTAAAGATTTTCTCTCTGCAGCCAATTCTGCTCAAGGATTTTTTTTCACCAAGGAAAAAAAAAGACAGTTATTATACAGCTAACATTTGCATAACCTAAACTGTTTTTCTGCCTTTCCTTTTCTCTCTTTTTGTTGAAGGAGCAGGTTTCCTTTTGTCCAAAAGCACAGCAGTGCAGTATGTAAGATCAGTAGATTTAGACTGTGCTGTAAGAGTATCGTATCAAAATTAACGATGTGATCAGGAACAACCCAGAACAACATTGTGAGCTTCTGGAAGGATGTCTTGTGCAATGCGGGTGTAATTCAGCAAGCAGTGTTCAGTGCAATGTGGATAGGGAGATAAGCCTCTGCTATTTGTTGCGGTCACAACAGATTAGCCGCCTCTTGTCTCGGGCAGTGTAAACTCACAGTAGACAGTGAGGCGCTTTGTGGAAGTCTGAGCGCTGACATTGTTGCTGGCAGTGCAAGTGTAGTCCCCAGTATCATCCCGACTGGCTGGGTTGATTACCAAAGAGCCAACGGAGATGATGATTCTGGAATCAGGTGTGATGGCGGTGCCATCTTTGGCCCACTGGGTAGTAACTTCTGTCCCACCGCTCCATGTGCAAGTCAGAGACACGTTTTTCTCCTCCACTGGCTGTGAAGGAACAGACAGAATCACTCCGACTACTGGGTCTGCAAAGAGAGCACAAAAAATTTTCCCTAAGAGCTCAACAAAAGAAAAGAAAAACAGTAAATTTAGATTTTCAGCCTGAGAGGGTACTTCAAAAGTTGGAGCTATGGAACAATAGGGAGCAGTTGGCCAGTCCTGTTGAGGATAATTTGTTGTAATCAAAGCAAGAAAGGGCTGAGAAGGGACAGCATTCAGAGAGGAGCACAGATGGTGAATAAGAGGGCAGACGATGCGGGTGGTAGCCAAGATGCGTCCTGGCAGACTGCCTAAGTTAAATAATTGGACAGGGAGAAGAGGGGGCGTATGGATGGAGGACGGAGCACCGAAAGTAAAGGAACCGTGGCAGTAACAGCAAACAAACAAAAACATTAGAGCCACTACTAAACAGCCCTAATTACTTTCTCTGAGCGTCCGCCTGAGTGTGACTCAGCAGGAGCATTTCATATTTCAGGATCTAAGCAGCCTCTGATTCTAAAAGGCTTCAAATGAGGAAGTAGGATGCTTAGAACGGTGCTCAAGGACCGGTCTGAAAATGTGACCTTTCAGCAGCAACAGACAGACCAGTGCTTGAGATGATTCCTTCCGCCGTTCATCCTACTAGCCGTGGGAGGGGAAAGGAATGGGCGACACTGTGCATCATCCTTTCCTTTGGGCTGAAAATAAAAATACACTCAGATGTTCAGGCTCCATTACGGTAGTGAATATAAATGAATGCAAATAGTTATCTACGTCTCAACGTGTGGCACTGCTTTTAGATGCTATCAGATATTTAAAACCATGGGTTCTGCATATCAAATGGGTTTTAATTGGCATAAAGCGTGTAGCACCTCGCTTCACCCCTTCTCCTTTTTCATTACTCTTCTCTTGCTGTCTATGGGTCACTAATTTCATTATACCTCCCTGATTAATTCACACCCCCTCAAACTCTCCATCTTCTCTCTGCAGTCTCTCAAACATCTCCTCAGTTTTTACCTTTTTTCACATACACCCCTCCTGTACGTTTGCTCGTGTCTTACCAAACACCTTCAGCTGCACCATTTTGGAGTTTCTGGTCAGTTTTGTTGAAGAGCCTGGAAGCACCTCCACTGTGTACATCCCTGCATCCTCGAGCCGGGCGTCTCGGATTTGAAGCTGGTTTGCTCTGATGTTGATTCTGCCTTGGAACTGAGGCACGTTATTGTAAGAGGCAGTATTCGAGGACCACAAACCCAGTGTTTCTGAGGGTTCATACGTCCAAGTCATGGAGAAGATGTCAGACACAGACGTCTGCACTGTAAACAGAATTTCTGCGCCTGTTTGGACCTGCACCAGATCCATCTCAAATGTGATTCCCACCTGGCCCTGTGCCAGGACTTTGGCAGAGAGGAGAACTAAAAGAGAAATAAAAGACATAGAATGTGCCCAATGAAATACTGTTATATATAAATGATAATTACTCAAAGTACAGAAAAGGTATGATGAAAACACCACCAGGTGGTGCTGTATCAATGGAATCACTGTATGTAGTACAAGTTCTGGTGATAAATACACAAAAGGTACTAAGCATTTAAAAGAATGAAAAAAAGTAGCTGTAATATCTGCATACTTTGCATCAAAACCTGAAACTTTTCGCAACATTCAGGTTCTCATTTTTAATCGGATTACTGCTGATTTCATGGCTGAGTGTATGACGAAGCTTTAAAACAAATTCACTTTAGTGTGGTTGCTTAATCTTCCAAAAAAATTAAATAACACTGCTCTCCAACATGGTACATTATAGATTTATTCACCGTCTTTACTATCTCTGTAACTGTGCTTGGGGGAGAAATTAGCTTCAGCCCCTTTCATGCCTTACTTCACATATTTTCAGTTCTTCCAGCTGTTCATTTAACATATGGAGACTTAAAGTACAGACAGCGTCCCCTGTAAAGTGGCATGCTCTCTTGCTTCCAATGTCAAAGGGTAGCTAAAGAAAACAGTTTATAGCAAAGAAAACGAGTAATATACACATCCGTGATTACTAAATTCCTAAACAAATATATTTTTTTATTACTGCCTCAATTACATTAATTCTACAATTAAGTGCTTTGAGGTGGCAGGCATTGGTAAATTGATTAAACTAACAAAATATATATCATATCAGTAGAGATTACTTCTTGTAATGAATAATTATACTCAATCTAAATGGTAAGTTTAAAAGATTGTTTCTGATTATGCTTATGGAATAATAAAAGGGTGTATTTTAATGTATCACAAGTTAACCAGGAACTGGCCTGTCAGGAGTGAAGGTTTTTTTTTTTTTTTTTACTGGAAAGTCCAAAGGATTTAAAGATTCAGTGAAAGAAAGTGTCACACTACAACGTTTTCTCTGGCTGTCTGAGGCATAATGTAGCACTTCCTCTTCACCACCTAGAGCTAAACACTGGCTAAAAGAAAGCAACTATACTTTTTTCCATAGAAGACAACATGATTTGATATGCAAATAACCTGTTTCCATCAGGAAACAAAGGGGGCCTAATGAAAAATAAAAACTAAAGTAGTAGCTAACAATCATTTAACCTGATATTAACTGCTTGACAGGTTATATTTTTTGCATTTATACATAACAAAAAAACGATTTTATACTTTTTGAATATATTATTCATGGGGCACATATTTTCGTGTTCTTTTAATGTACTCTCTTCATCATCAGTTTGAGAATAAACGTTATAGAAGACATAATAGAACTGATATGCCATGCAGAAAGAGGAATAGCATTTATCCATTTTAATTAAAACTGAAAAGACCATTTTTCATACATTATTTTGGGGTGTTTTGTAGAGAGATATTTTTACATTGCCAGAACAACCAATTAAAATTTTCACTCTGTTGAGGATTTGCATTTTTGGTGCTGCACATTTTAGACACAAGGTGAGAGCCACTTTTTTCTCATTTTTATCCATTCTAGTATGTTAGGACAGACGATTCCAAGTTAAACAACAATTTCCTTGTTTTACATATATTCTTTAATAACTTTAGCTAAAACATTGATTTTCTGTTTCACTTGGCATCATAAAATGATGGTTGTGGAAGTTATCATCCGTGTACAAAAATAATTAAAAAAAATAATTTTAAAAGGCAGTCAGTCGCCAAAAGTCTTTGTAAAAGTGTTTAAAACCTACTTAGTTTTATAGTGAACACGGGAAACATGGCAAACGTGGAGGAAGAACCTCTAAACAGATAATAAGAAACTAAAAATCTTCTGATCTACTTACAGTGAGGAAAATAAGTATTTAAACACCCTGCTGTTTTGCAAGTTGTCGCACTCAGAAATCATGGAGGGGTCTGAAATTGTCATCGTAGGTGTATGTCCACCGTGAGAGACATATTCTAAAAAAAATAAATCCAGAAATCACAACATATGATTTGTTTAAAACTAATAAGATTTTTTAGCTATTCATTTGTATGATACAGCTGCAAATAAGTATTTGAACACCTGTCTATCAGCCTAGACCCTCAAAGACCTGTTAGTCTGCCTCATAAATTTATTATCCTAAATTAGAGGCACCTGTTTTAGGTCGTTAGATGCATAAAGACACCTGTCCATCCCATACAATCAGTAAGAATCCAACTACTAACATGGCAAAGACCAAAGAGCTGTCCAAAGACACTAGAGACAAAATTCTACACCTCCACAAGGCTGGAAAGGGTTACGGGGAAACAGCCAAGCAGCTTGGTGAAAAAGGGTCTAATGTTGGAGCAATCATTAAAAAACGGAAGAAGCTAAACATGACTGTCAATCTCACTCAGACTGAGGCTACATGCAAGATCTCACCTCTTAGAGTCTTAATGATCTTGAGAACAGTGAGAGACCAGCCCAGAACTAAACGAGAGGAGCTAGTTAATGACCTGAAAAGAGCTGGGGCCACCGTTTCAAAGGTTACTGTTGGTAATACAATCAGACGTCATGCTTTGAAATCATGCATGGCACAGAAGGTTTCCCTCCTTAAAACAGCACATTTCAAGGCCTGTCTTAAGTTTGCAAATGATGGTGCGTGCAGCTGGAGCAGTGGTTAGTGCGCATGACCCATGTACAGAGGCCTCAGTACTCGACGTGGCTGATCTGGGTTCGAATTTGACCTGTGGTCCTTTGCCGCATTGTCTCTCCCCCTTTCCTGTCAGCCTATTGTTGAAAAAACTAGCCACTAGTGCCATAGAAAATAAAAAGTTTGCCAATGACCATTTGGCAGATCCAGAGGAGTCATGGGAGGAATTCATGGGGTCATGAAGACCAAAATAGATCTTTTTAGTCATAATTCCACTAACAATGTTTGGGGGAATAAGAATGATGAGACCCATCCCAAGAACACCATCCCTACTGTGTAGCATGGGGGTGGTAGCATCATGCTTCAGGGGTGTTTTTCTTCACATGGGACAGTGCGACTGCACTGTATAAAGGAGAGCATGACCAGGGCCATGTATTGCAAGATTTCAAGTAATAACCTCCTTTCCTCAGTTAGAGCATTGACGATGAGTCGAGGCTGGGTCTTTCAACATGACAATGACCAGAAGCACACAGCCAGAATAACCAAGGAGTGGCTCTGGAAGAAGCATATGAAAGTTAGAGAATCTTTGGAGGGAGCTCAAACTCTGTGTTTCTTAGTGACAGCCCGGAAACCTCACTGATCTAGAGAAGATCTGTGTGTAGGAGTGGGCAAAAATCCCTTCTGCAGGATGTGTAAACCTGGTGAAACACTACACGAAGCATTTGACCTCTGCACCATGTACCAAATATTAACATTGATTTCCTCAGGTGTTCAAATACTTATTTGCAGCTGTATCATACAAATAAATAGTTTTAAACAAATCATACATTGTGATTTCTGGAATTCACAGTGGATATGCGCCTACAATGACAATTTCAGACCCTTCTATTATTTCTAAGTGGAAGAACTTGTGAAATAGCAGGGTGTTCAAATTCTTATTTTCCTGACTGTACAACATATGTGGGAAGAAAGAAAAAAGCTCCACGTCTCCCTGAACACAACATCGCATCCCATGTGGTTCCATTTCCTCCATGTGGCTCGATTGAGCAAAACAGTAACAATACTGGGGTAAAAGGTTCAAGTGCAATGAGTGCACAGCCTAAATGTTTTGTTCCTCTGCATGATGATGTGTCCAGTTATATTTTTCGACACACCTCATTTTATTTTCCGCTTTCAAACACAAAGAAATCCTCATTTGTTATGTGGACCAATAACAGAACACCCAGACACGTCCAACACAGTATATGTACCAAATATAATTCGCAGTGTAATCACAACAGACTGAGCCGCAGCCAGTGTGGGATTTCATCCAAAAAAAAGATGAAGAAATCTGCCAGGGTTTGAAAATAACTTTTACCATACTTCATTTCAGAGATGGAACAAACTTTACCAGCCAAGGATTCGTGACAGTAGAAAAAATGTCATGTATATCCTGAATATGAGCTTCAGCATTACCTAACAGTTTGCATTTTCACATAGATGTATAAGTGAGATCCTAGAAAAGAGCATAGAACCTTATGCGAGCATTCCAGCCTTGCAAAGCTAGGACTATTCCCACAAAGGTTTAATTATGTTCCAGAGACTTCAAGCTATAGATTCACATAAAGTATTAGACAATTTAATTGTTGAATGAAAAGGACACGGTTTTCCAAATAGAGACTAGAATCTGAATAGTGTTGCAGAATTTATTTTGTTTCACCACTTTAACACCATTCGTGTGTAATTTTTAGTTCTGCATTCGCTAAATTGAGTATGTTGTGCCTAATTGTTATGGAACATGGTGCTTTGAGCAACTGGCTGTCAGGATGCTTGTCTTCAGCAAAGGTAGGGATGCTCAGTGGATGGATTAAACTAAATACAGGGTCATTTTGGAAAAAAAATCTTTTAAAAAGATGAAACACACAGTCAGAAATAAGCTATTTTACAACATGTCTCCAACTAGAGCTGAAACAATTAATCAGATGAATCGATTAGTGAAATAATCTTTAATTAGAGCAGTAATTATACCAAGCTTGTCTGTCAATATGCTCTATCCAGAACTCTAGTGGAATTTCAGTTTCACCAACTTTAGTTTTGTAAAAAATGTTCTTTAACAAACCTTAGGGTATCTGATTATTAATTGGTTAATCAAAAAAACAATCAGCAGATTAATCGATTTACAAAATAATCGTTAGTTGCAGCCCTATCTCCATCCAATCTGTCTGAGCTTCCATTATTATTAGAAACATCCAGTTCAGAGCTAGTAGAGACATCACCCAGCTTAAAAATCTTCTGCATCTAATTGTAGTAAAAGATGGTTTAATAAAGGTCCAACCAAGAGAAAAACAATATCTGATTTCTAATAAATATGAAAACCATCCTTCCCCTTTATTTCACATCACAATTGCAGCTTTTTTAAGTTGTTCTATTATATGCATGATTTATATGCAACTGAATTAAAAGAAAAGCGAAAAAGCTCAAGGAATATAAAAAGTTTTGTGAAGTTCAATAAATATTTAAAGTGCTTGGCGGACTATATACAGGATAGCAAAAAAAAAAACAAAGACTTTCAGTTTTGTTTATTCATGGCTGTGCAGCATCACGTGTTGAGGCTAGAAGCAGCAGCATCATTCTGTGATGCATTTTTACTGACATATGGAACAAAGTAAGAGCAGTCTGTTCACTAAACAACAGGATCAGTCTCACTGTACTAATATTGCACAACCTTTGGAAGAGGGAAAAAAACAGAGCAACCTTAGTTATTTGAATTAGAGTGAAAAACAAGAGTTAAAGGCTTCGAGCTTTTGTAACATTTTCAAAGGCTAATGAGTCACAGTAGAAACACCCATGTGCCATACAACGCTATAATCTTGCTTTCATGGGTTGTTGGAAATCTTTATGCAAATACCAGGAGAATGAATAAAAGCAGAGTAATATTATGCGAAAATTATTTTGTTATTATTCAACCAACTTAAAAAGTAACCCTAAGATAGTAGGCCAGGTTTGTCAACTGCTGTTGATGGCAGCAAAGCAGAGTTCATATGATAGAAGGAATCGTTTATTTTTATTTGTTGCTGAGCTTTAGGTTTTTTCTCTGTGTTGATCCAGAGAGAATGAAATTTTATCCTGACAATCGATTTCTTCCGCTTCAACAAATGCTGTAGCGTTTGTCCAAAGGTTTATATCTCTGATTCATCCAGAAAATCACATATGAAAGGCACAGCAGAGATCTAGGAGGGAAATACATTTCTGTAAACATTTCTGCTTGGATGGCAGTTTTGCAGGATCTTTACACAGCAGCCAAATGTGTATTTAATATTTTGAAAATGTTGCTAATTATTACTTCAATTATTATCTGTCATGCATGAAGAACAGCCCCTTTGCTAATGAACAAATTAAAATATAATTTACATTTCTGGAGTTAATTTCCTTTGCTCATTCTTCTGTAACAGCAAAACCCTGAAAAATTATATTTGTTTATATTATTGATTAATTTTTCATTATTTTTTTTTTTCATTTTTCATTTTTTTAAGGTTCACAAACATGAAACATACGAATATTAAATCCTATCATGACTTAAACCAAAGTGCAGCTTGTTCATTTGCCCTCTAAACTGAACAGTCATTTATTTCCTAATCCTATAAATGCATAGTTCCAAAAATTACAGTAAATATATATATATATACAGTAAATCCAATGTCTCCCAAGTTTAAAGACATTTTATTTCCATCCAGGAAGCTTTTTCAATTCAAAATGTCAGGAATAGCATTGAGTTTGATGTTTTATACAGTAGCCCATTTTACAGTAGTTGAATATGACCTGGATGACTGAGAATCTTCACCAGCAGTAAATCCACTAGTTTAAAAAGCCAAATGCCTGAAACTGTCAGACTCTCCAGATCGTATTACATATAAGAAGCAAACAATAAAATTGCACATACAGAGAAAGTATTGCAACAATTATAGTTTATCATAACACTTATTTCTCATGGTGAAAATTTTGTTTTTTAACTAAACAGAAACTTAAGGAGCAGGCATAGAGATGTAGCTAAAGGAAATGTTCCTTTTTTTTCCCCTCTAACCTTAAGCTGCTGGTTTTAGTCTTTATTTTTTTTTTTTTACTTATGTTGTTTTAATAGAGTTTTAGTTAACTGAAGAACAAATGCCAAACTCCATTGCATTTCTTTTAGAGGTGTTCAATTATCAAATGACTGCAGTGTTGAAATAAAAACATGTCAAACTATAGGAACTGATAAACAAATTATAAGATACAATATAAGAATATATGGAAATTAAAAAGAGCTACGGAAAACCAAGTATACTGTGATTCATTATTAGAATATTTTAATATACTACACACTGTGACTATAAAGAGATTATGATTATTATTATTATTATATGCAGTATTGTTAAAAAAATACATATATATTCCCCAGTGAAAAACAAAGGAGTTTAGAATGAATGTTGGATTTTAAAGATATTCCAAAATAATATTTAGCACTGCAATAAAAGATTGAATTATTTCATACATTTTTACACATCCATTCTAGGAGTGAAAATAATTAAAGTAGTAAAAATGAGATAAATTAATTTGTTACTTATTTCTTGGGTTTATTCATCTGCTGTTTGCTTACTGCTTATTCTTGGCAATTAACCAAGTACTTGTAATTAGGATTACAAGTATTAGAAAGATTAGAGTACTTCTCACATTTCCCACCCTTATCATGTAATTTGATAATAAAACATAAATTTAAGTAATGGAGTCCCTAAAGGCACCAAGTTTAATGGCTGATTGGTTCATAAATAAGAATGTGGCCCCGCAGGTTTAAGAGCAAGAAAGCCTTTTGTTTTATTTACGTGCCTGAAATATCTCAACGGTCCTACCCTACCCTACTCAGTTTGTTTTGTTTTTTTCTCAGACATGAAAAGCTCTACCGAAACCATTCAGAGACCAGTATGGGCTGTTTAAAAGATACAACCGGAAAAAGTGAAGAAAGTGTTACAGCAAATGATGTTTTACCTGCCAGAGACAGACTGGCGAAGAGCCAAAGCTTCATGTCGTCAGTCAGGCCAGTCTGAGGAAAAGTTTAATATAAATCTCATTAAAAGGCAAAGGTTGGGGTTCATTTCACGTTTTATAAAAGATTTAACGGCGAACTGATGACAAGATAAATCACATATCATTCCGTTTAGCTGTAGTCTGAGCAAAATATAAATAGCTTTTTTTTTTTTTCTTTAAATAAACCTTAGGCTAATAATGAATCTTACCAAAATGCTTTCTGCCTTCCCTCATGTTGTTATTGCACTGTTACGGCGGCTCATGTATTGTTTAATGGAAAACTTCCTGTGTCTGGTTCACCTGTCGCAGCAGAGGAACACCTGCCTCTTAAAGGGCCAGTGCTCGTTTGTTTAACTGAAAGTAAGAAGAAAAACCCAAGAGAGAGAGAGAGATTAATATAAAATATATATCACATTTTTGGCTTCCTGTGCTGTCCTTTAGATCAATATTTTTGATAGTTGTGATGATAGGGCTGTTTTGAAATTTCTCTACTCAACCGGTTTATATTAAAAAGTTTAAGGACGAGCAATATAATTTAGTACCTGGAGGGGGCAGCATAATGTTAGCGCTTGGTGAACAGAAGAAGAATGAGGATAGCATTTTGTATGTCTTTCACTTTGTTGATTGTATATCTGAATTTCCCAATTATGAAAAAAAGCTGAAAATATTCTATTCTATTCTATTCTATTATATTCTATTCTAGTATGGTTTATTGTATTCTATTCCATTCCATTCCATTCTAGTGTAATATATTCTATTCTATTCCATTCCCTTCTATTCTAGTCTATTATATTCTGTTCTATTTCATTCTGTTCCATTCCATTCAAGTCTAATCTATTCTATTCTGTTATATTCTATTCCATTTCATTCTATTCCATTTCATTCTATTCCATTTCATTCTATTCTAGTCTATTCTATTTTGTTTTATTCTATTCCATTCTATTCAATTTCCTTCTATTCTAGTCTATTATACTATATTCTGTTCTATTCCATTCTAATCCATTTCATTCTATTCTAGTCTATTCTATTTTGTTTTTTTCTATTCCATTCTATTCCATTGTTATATTCCATTCAATTCTAGTTTATTCTATTTTGTTGTATTATGTTCCATTCTATTATAGTATATTCAAGTATATTCTATTCTGTTCTATTCTATTCCATTCTAGTATATTCTACTATAAAGTACTTTTCATATTGTTGATATTAATACTGCAATGACAGTAGTGATTCAATAAGTATGCGGCTATAAAAGAAGCAAACATTTTTCTTAGAGATATGAGGGAGTACAGTAATTAAAATGAAAAGTGCTTTAGTTTTGGCCACTGGCCAAGCAATAATCTGGTAAAGCCAGATTATTTCTAGTTTCAGGCTCCTGTTTTCATGATGTCCTTAAGATGTCTTCTGAGGAATACACCTCAATCAAACTCAGGGATTACATAGACAGGCTGTCCTTTGAGAACATGCACCAAAGATCAATCACTTTTAATTACAAGCTCTGTTTGTGTTATCACTTAGTCATGATGAACTGCAGATTTTCCTGTGCTGAAAAGTGCTTTAGTCTTTCCCTTTTGCCCTAAATGTATGGATACACTGCATGAGGCTATTTCTGTCAAGTAATGTTAGTGGATGATTTATGGTTCAAGTCAGCCATGCGTAAAGTGATAGCCATCAACTTACATCAGTATCATGTAGTCTATGGTAAAGCCTGCTAAGCTTGGTGGATGGACTTTGACGGTTATTAATCATTTGTCTTAACTACAGGAAGTGTGAATAGTGCAAGAGTGGTTATTAAAGGAGGAGTCCGTTTCTGAAATGCCTGAAAGAATTAAAAAACCTAGATCATTTTTTAGTAAAATCTGATTTAATAACATAGATGTCCTCGAAAAAAAAAAGAGAACAAAAAAAACAAGGCATTTAAATATAGACAAGAGTTAGCATTTTTGCTGAATCTAAGTGTATGAAAGGGATTTCTAAAAGAAGTAAAAATTATAGTAGATTTTAAATAAGATGGTGAATGAGTTCCAAAATAATAAATACAAACACTGAATAAAAAAGGAAAGTACATTTGAAAAATATAACAATTACTTTTTTTTATCAAGAATTATTCATTTAGGCTGTTTGATTACTGTCTCGTTGTTTTTGGATTAAGTCAGAAGATAAACAAAATGTTGAAAGTAACAAATTCAAGTTTCAGAGTAAAAATATGCTATCATAAATGTTTACAAAAATGAATAAATTTTGATAAGCATGAGGCATCCTGTTTAACTTAAATATGGTTTCTGCAGCAGCATAACAGTTTTCCCAGTACAGTAATATAGGCGACTGTGTTATTAGAATACACCTGGAAACAAACACACTGTATGAACTCACACTGTAGATTAGTCATACATTAAAGAACAGCTTCAAATGGTCCCCATCCTGTTTTTTTTAAAGAAAGGAATTTGAATTCTCAATATATAAAGAGACTTGACATATTTGATTGGTGATAAACATTAGATAAAAGCTGTCTAAGTCTAAAAAAAAAAGTCTAAGTGGTGATTGAACGAGAACAGGCTGCCACACAATATGAAAACTGTGATCCCACTTTGAAATACAAAGAAATATAAAATTTTCAGATTGCTTTTGATCATCTGAAAATTCCATAGGAATAATTGTATGCATGTTAGACATGATTTTCGATCATTTCAAATTTTACTGCATATCTGATAGTATCCACAAAAAAAAAGAAAAGAAAAAACAATCCACTGGACTTTGTTTCCAAGGTTGAAGATGTTTCGCTCTCCCATCCAGGAAGCTTTTTCAATTCAAAATGATTGGAATACAAACTTGGAAACAAAGTCCAGTGGATTGTTTTTAATTTTCTTTTTTTTTTGGAATGACTATGACCTGGATGACTGAGAATATTCATCAGCATCTGATATTATCCTTGGATATTTTTCTCCAGTTTCTTGTATTTATTAAAAGTACGAGACGTCCAACCACATAATTTCCCAAAAGCTTGAAGCTGCCTTTATACCCTCACCACATGTAATATAAAGTGAGGATTAACAAACCCATAACCACTGAACTACTTGTGTATGTTGTTTAATTTGTTAAGGTTCCTAAACCTAATGTAAAATTAACAATTAAAGTCTAAATGCTGGTGAAAAAAAAGACAGACAGACAGACAGACAGACAGACAGACAGACAGACAGACAGACAGACAGACAGACAGACAGACAGACAGACAGACAGACAGACAGACA